TTTTTTTTTTTTTTTTTTTTTTCCGGTTCAATCTTTATTTGATCGACTACCTTTTGTGCAGTTGTGGATGTTGTGAGGATGGTTGTGCTACATCCAGATGGAGCAGGCAAGCTTCTGCAGCATGTCAAGGGTGGAAATGGTACCCAACTAAATTTGCATTTGACCATTTTGGTTTTAACCTACACCTTTTGAAGATCTATTCCCAATATATATTTTTTAGCATTGATAAAGGCATCTTTTGCATGCAAATGGATCTCATGTTTGTAATTGGTATATCTGAAGTAAATTTTTGTGGTTGTTTATTTTTATTTTTATTTTTTTTCCCAGACATGTGGTTGCTTACTGCACTTGTGCAGAAAGTCAAATACTTTCCTTTGGGCACTTTTATATATTTAGTTCTTTCTTCTTTAATGCCTCATTCTTTAATTTGTTTTCAGCAGATACTATAATTGAGTTAATCAGAAAGGTAGCTGCAAATCCTCCACTTCCAGCAAACTTGCTTACGAGCCTCCGTGCATTGACTAATCTATTCAAAAACACATCCTACAATGATTGGTTACTAGCACATCGTGCTGAGGTTCGTACCTTTTTGATATGTGAAAAGTGTGAGAGTATCGTTTACGTACTAACAGTCGGGCAAAAGAATTGTATACATGCAAAGTTTATACTTACTGCTGAAATCTTGATTTGCTAATTTTGTAGATTCTTGATGCCTTCTCGAGTTGTTGGTCATCTTCAAATAAGAATGTCCAGTTATCATATGCTACACTACTAATCAAGTAAGTAGCAGAATGAATGACACATTTGAAGTTAATTTGATTGCTAACTTATTTTTGCTTCCTTTTTCCGTTTGGCTCTTCAATAACTACGTGGGACGAGAATAAACATTGAGAACTCTATTTTTCTCTGTAAGATAAATAGTTGTTACCAGAAAATTTTTTCTTTGTAAATATAAATGTCCATATTTGTTAGCCATTTAAAATTAATCGAGATGAATATTGAGATTTAACTTGCTCCATAGAGTCGGGCAATAAATATGATTTTACAGATGGCAACAATTTTCTTCATACACTGTAACGCCTATCATCACGCGGAATGTTCAGACCTGAGCCCCATTAACAATGTGAACACACGATGATACGACGAAATTTTGTCGTGAACTTTAATTGCTGCTGTCAATGAATATGCAAAACTGAAAAGTATAATACATCTACACACTTCCTGGGGTTTGGTTTGAGAATTTTCTCTTGAATGTGCAGCTATGCAGTTCTTTTGATTGAGAAGAAGGATAAAGAAGGCCAATCTCAAGTCCTTTCGGCAGCATTGGCGGTACTGTTTTACGCTGCTTCTATTCCTTAACAAATACAAATCAATAATTACAAAAAGCATCTGAGGTTTAGCTTATTACCAGAAAACTACACCTTTCATTATCACATAAACAAATGAATTTTGAAGGGGTAACTGTAAGACTGAAATATAATTAGGCGTTTGTAATCAGGCTAAAGTTAGAGGTGGATTCAGTAACGAATCCATTTGAATGGCACATCTATGGTTTAAGTTTTCATTTCTCTCTCGCGCTAAAGAATGGGTGGTTTTACATACATGCGAGTGGTAAATTCAGTAACTAATGTTGAATTTACGTATGGCCTTTTCTCGTACCCCGTGAAGATGGCAGGAGAAGGAACTGTCGATTCTGATTCGAAATTTCGAGCTTTGGTGGCTATTGGCTCGCTGGTAACGTTTCAAGTTTCCTATTACTTTTTTAATTTTTTAATTTTTATTTCATCATATCATTATTTGGCGGCTATTTAGCAACAATGCAACATGAGTTAGCTGAATGTGATGTTTGTAAACACCCACAGATGCTTGAAGGCCTTGTGAGAAGTTCGGCTTTGGATTTTGGTGTTGTAAATATTGCCAAAGCTGCAAAGGCATCTAATGATACCAAGCTTGCTGAAGTTGGAGCTGATATTGAACATGTGGCCAAACAGGGTTGATGAACAGTAATTTATCGGTACGTATTTGTTTTTAATATTTTATATCGGCAAATTTTAGTTCCACCGGAGATTATCTTTACTATTAGAATTGTGATTTGTTGAAGAGGATTATCAAATATATGTCCCTTTTTCCTCTCTCTCTCTTTTTTTTTTTTTTTTTTTTTTTTTTTTTTTTTTTTTTTTTTT